AACCTTGAATGTTATTTGATATTTTGATACTTTGGATTTGGTTGAATATTTATGTTTGTGGATTATTGATTTTATTTATAAGATTTTGCATTTCTTATTCATCATTTTGCATCATAGTATGTTTATGACCATACCCAAATACATATTGAATGTTGTTCATGTTGACTAACCTCTTTTGGCTATCTTGATCTTTACAACTATACTTATATCTTGTTTATACTATATGAGTTTTTTTGATTTAACAAAAAGGGGAGAAATATTAAAGTAAAGGGAGTAATTTTTCAAAGTAAATTTTCAAAAAAAAAAAATCTTAAAATTTCTAAAATATTTTGTTATATATAAAAAGGGAGATTTTTGAAAACATTTTGATATTTTGATATACCAAACAATTTTGGAAATTACTATTGAGCCCTAATTTCAGCAATAAAATGCATTTCTGGTACCAATACTTATAGGGTATCGATACTACTGGTAAAATATCTATAATACTGTTGAAAACATCTTGATATTTTGGATATACCAAACAATTTTAGAAATTAATTTTTATAAATTTTAAGATTATATTCAATTCAATTATTCGAATATATACAATTATTACTTAAAGTTTTAAAACGTCAATTTTTACTCCTTACTTAATGAAAATTTGAGATCTATACTGGAAATATTTTTGAAAGGATTTTTACTAAAGGTTTCGAACTTTAATCGAGTCAAAAACTCAATTTTAATATGGTAGTATCGATACTGCTAAGGCAGTATGATACCATGCTTACAGAACCTCAAAATGGTATCGATACCATGTTAATATAGTAGTACCGATACTACAGGTGTAGTACCGATACTACTCCTTTGGTTTTGACTCTGAAATTTTCGAGAATCTCAAAATGGTACCGATACTATTGTCTGGTATCAATACTACTCTACGTAGTAGTATCGATACTCCTTAAGACAGTATCGATACCGTTGTCTTTCAACGGTCAAATTTTCATATTTATTGCAGGTAGTATCGATACTATAGATATAGTACCGATACCAATAGCTTCTGAGTAGTATTTAATGCAGGAAAAATGCCCCCCAATGGCTCTATTCACTCCCACAACAACTCAAACGGTTGGAATTGATTGAGGAAGTATATGAACAAGATCCCAAGCCATTTGTGATGACAAAAAACAAGAGAGAAAGCCAAAAACTTCAAGTGTGAGCTAAATCAAGTCAACATTCTTCAATATTCTTTTTGCTTTCAAAGAAAACTTCTTGTACTTATTTGTTTTCATTTCTCAAATGTTCTTATGTGTTCTTGAATTGTGCAAACACATTCCTTGTGAGGTTTTTATAAGTTTGCAAATTTGTAATTTTTCTCTTTGAGAGAATGTCTCAAGAATTTGAGGTTTAATTCTTGATGGAGTTGTAAGGTTACACCTTATCCTCAAAGATAGATACAAATTAGTGAATTTTTGAAAATCCTTAGTGTGGATAACTAAGGTATTGGAAGTAAACTTTGGTTGATAAAGTTGAACCACTCTAAATTCTTGTGTTCATTCGCTTTAAATTTTTCCTCTTAAGCTTCCACAAAATTTTAATTGTCAATTCACCCCCTCTTGGCTATTTTATCCTTCGATTAACTCAATAAATACCCACCTCATATGATCAGATTAAGCCTGTTTAAGGCCTATAAAAGCTAAGGATTGTCCGTGAGGGATGTAAATGGCCAAAGGAGCCCATAAACACTCGTGGGAGCATGTTACAACCAGAGTAACCATAGCATGCGTAATGCGTCCAAGTATCTTCAATTGAGAACGTAGTGGGTAACTATGGATGGAGGATCATTATATCGGGTGTAAAGGGAATTAGTATAACCGAATAATTAGATTTCAAAATAGTAGAGTTGTTTACGATAAGAGCGATCGAGTGTGGGACGTATAGTTATCCCTTTAATTCGAGAGCGAATTGAGGGGAAGCGTAGTAATAACAAATATAGTATTGCTACCTAGAAGTGATCCCGGGTCAGATATCAGGATACCAGAATTACAGTAGTAAACAGTAAACATAGTAATCATCATGGAGTCATAAAACATGTAGAGATAGGGGTGTTCATTCGGTTAAAACGGTGGCCGACCGAACCGAACTACCCTTAACCGAATTAACCGAACTTTTTTTTTCTTTAACCGTTAATCGAACCGAACTTTTTTTCAAACATATTAACCGAACCGAATTAATTTCGGTTAATTCGGTTAATTTTCGAATTAACCGAATTTTTTAAAATTTTCTAATTTATATAAAAATTAAATATTTATAATTCAAAAAAAATGTATAATTAATTTTAAATAATATATAATTATAAAATAAAAATTTCAGATAAATTTTTTAATTAATTAATATTGATTTAGATTTAAAAGTTATTGGATCTTAAATTATTAATTGAATTTTAAATTGTTTGGGCTTAGCCCAAATGTTATATATAATATATTTAATATTTTTTAATTAAAAAACAGTTTACAATTAATTTAAATAATATATAATTATAAAATAAAAAATTTATATAATTTTTTTAATTAATTAATATTGATTTAGGTTTAAAAGTTATTGGATCTTAAATTATTAATTGGGTTTTAAATGGTTTGGGCTGAGCCCATATGTTATATATAATATATTTAATATTTAAAATTTAATTTCGGTTAATTCGGTTAATTCGGTTAATTCGGTTAATTAACCGAATTCGAACCGAATTAACCGTTAACCGAATTCTAAAAAATTTTTTAACCGTTAACCGACCGAACTAATTCGGTAACATAACCGAATTAACCAAACTAATTCGGTTCGGTCGGTTAACCGAATTAGTTCGGTTATTTGAACACCCCTATGTAGAGACTTCTCTAGAGCTAGAAAATGACTAAAACACCCTTAAGTAGTGAAAAACCATATCAGTACATATTATCAGTAATAACAGACTAATAAACTCTCACATAACTTTCTAGATGAGAGAACGAGTGAGATAACAGCTAGGGAGAGCAGTAAACGAGATTAGTAATAACTCAGAACAGCTACGATGTCAAAAAAACTAGCCTTGTGTGACACTCCGGAAATAGCTAGGACACCTAAGCTACTTTAGCAATAGGGAGATGGCATGTTTGTTAGAATGTCTAGGCATATATCAGTCAGTGCCAAGGCACTTCAGATGACATTTGAGCGTAAATGCCCCAAGACTCGACGGAGTAAGTTGGTGGGGTATACGTTTTCTATGTAGCTTCGGATCTCACTCTATACTATGCAAGGGGTCGGATGTACGTTTTTGATACAGTTTTGGATCTCACCCAGGCACCCAAGGGTATCTTAGGTAGGCTAGAGGGGTGTGTAAGCTCTGAGATGCAGGCCCTTAACCGCACCATGATTCCTACCTCAGCTTGTGTGTTGCATAATAGTATTAGTATTACATTCATATAATGCATAGTAGAGTCAGTGTTGCATTCAGATAATGCATAGCATAATCAGTACCACATTAGATAATGCTCAGTAGACTTAGTATTGCATTCAGTTAATGAATAGCAGAGTCAGTGTTGCATTCAGATAATACACATAAGTGTCATTATCACATTTACATAATGCGCATCAGATACAATTATTAGGGTTAGAGACCTTTTAGAGGTTAACTCTTGGCTAAGTCCTTAACAGAGGTTTTAGGGAAGTATAGGACCTCATACTTAGTGATAGAACAACTAAGCCTTGAGTAGGTAGCACTTGATCTAGATCATGCATGTACCTACAACTTAGCACATATTATCTTTCAAAATTATAAATTAAAAAATAATAATCAAATCAGACATCAATAAACAAAGTTATAACTTTAGGATTAAATTACTAAAATTTTGAATTATAGTATTAATACATGACTCATGATATCGATAACTAACCTAGTATTAGTACCTTTTACAAGCTATTGATAATAATTTAAGATGAAAAAAGCCCTTGTATCAATACCTTATGTTTAGTTATCAAATTCCTACAATAGAAATGGACATTTTGACAGTTATAACAACCTTGATTCAACCATGAACTTAATGAAACCTTCGTATACATCTAACAGACTCTAAATGTCATATGAAAGTATATTTAATACATAAAAAATATAGAATTTATCAAGTAACTTCAGCGGTTAAAATGAGTATAAGTCTATCCCTAACGAACCGCAAACGATAAAATTAACGAATTACGATCCCGTACACGTTCCATGAATCAAAGCGAACTGTGAATTAGGTAACACTGCTTCAAACTATAAGTTTTTCTCTCAAAACCGAAGTATTCTTCGGTTCTCTTAATCGCTCAGACCATAAAATTTATTGGGTTCTCTATTTCTTCTTCACTATTCCCCTTTTCTTCTCAAACTCTCTATGAAATTGATTCGTTCTAAGAGGAATGAAAGAAGAAAAGTTATAGAATTTAGACTTTTCGTGAGAAGTAGGCCTTAACGTTTCAAAAAAACCCTTCCTTTTTCCCTCTTTAATTGATTTAATAATTAAATATTCATTAATTTCAAAATTTAATTATAATATTACTTAAAGAGTCGATAAATGGATATCAGCGGTTGTCCACTATGACGGTCAACAATCCAAATCAGCATATAATGGTCCAGTTGTGATTTTCGTTAATCCTATTAACGGTTGTTAATGTGGAATGACCGATTTGTAACAAATGATAACATTAGTGACCTATTTGTGACTTTTCAAACATCAATTATGAAAATGAAAACTTACTCAAACATTAATGATTATTTGTGTAGTTTACCCTAAAAATAACTTGCCCAAAGTATATCATTTGATAAGAAATGCAAAGAAATTTGCTGATAAAAAAAAATTTTATACTGATCAATATTTTCCTGTTTGATAGGGGAAAAAAAGGAAATCCTAAAATTAATTCCATAATGATAAATTAAGATTTGCCATTCATCGGTTATATATAGATTACCATCAACCCTTTTGCTTTTCAAAATTTCTCCTCAATCTCATTCAAAGAGAGAATAAAAATCCAATGGGATTCGGGTCGATTTTCAATCGGAAAAAGAAGAAACCACCACTTACTTCATCAGCATCTCCAGCCGTTCCGCCCAATGGGTCACCCTTATTTCAATCTCCAATGCAATCTCCAACCCAAATCCAGCTCCAAGAACTCGAAGAAGTCTTCAAGAAGTTCGACGCCAACGGCGACGGCAAGATCTCGTCGTTGGAGCTGGGTTCCATCATGGGTTCCCTCGGCCAAAAACTGTCCGACGAAGAACTCCACAAGATGATCAAAGGTCGCCCCGACGGCGATGGGTTCATAGGCTTCGAGGAATTCGTGGAGCTGAATACCAAGGGGATTGATTCCAATGAGGTTTTGGAGAATCTGAAAGACGCGTTCTCGGTGTATGATCTAGACGGGAACGGTTCGATTTCGGCGGATGAACTCCATAAGGTGCTTCAAAGCCTGGGGGATGATTGCTCCATTGCTGAATGTAGGCAGATGATTAGTGGCGTCGATAACGATGGGAATGGGTTGATTGATTTCGAAGAGTTTAAGGTTATGATGATGGCTGGTACAAGGGCATGGTATGGCATGAATTCTTCTTAGCTACTTATTTTCAAACGAAAAAAATGATTGATGATTAATTTTTTGTTTTTTCCTGGATCTCTGCTTTTGGTTATATGGAATTTTTGTATATACTTTTACGTTCTTTTAAAAGAATGGTTATTATGGTGGTGGTGTTATGTTTCTTTCTCTTCATTTACATAATTATTTTTAATATTCAATATATATTATTTTAATTAATCTAGGTTGATTACATAATAATCTTTAGTTTAACGATTCTTCATCATTTAACAATGAAAGTTAAACACCCTTGCAATTTCTAGTATTCGGACCTAGACCTCTAGATAATAACTATCTCTTTGATCACTTAAGTAATTTGATTCGTATAAAAGGCGATGGTTGTAAATACGATAAATATGATAATAAGTTTTATGATAAATATGATAGGAAATAAAAACATGTATAAGAACGATAGAAGGCTGTGGTTGTAAATATGATATTTGAGTTTATAACTTATTTGATTTTGATTAAAAAAAGTTTTTATTCAATTTTGTTATTCAAGTCTATATTGAGTTGTTTGACTTAGATTGAATTTGAATATTTTGATGCAGTTAATGAATTTATTTGAATTTGGATATTGAGAATTTTTAACTTAGGGTAGCATCTAGTTTTAATGAATAATAAAGAGAAAAAAATTGAAAAAGAATAATAAAGAGAAAATAATAAGATTCTTAACTTTGAAAAAGAAAAGTCTATAAAATTTGAAGTAGATAATCACATTAATCATTTGTTTCTCTTAAAAATATTAAAGAGAAAAAATTAATTACAAAAATAAACAAGATAAGATCAAATAAGAAAGAGTTTAAAAAGCTCGATCAAACAACTCAAAATAAAATAAAATAAAAAACAAAAATATGCAAACAAACACATCATAAATACCATTAACAATGATATCACATGATAACACGTTGACAGATATTCTTACCGCAGTTTAAGTGCGACATATTTAGAACGATTGTGAGCACTTATTAATATGAAAGAATAGACAAAAATAAACATATTAAACAGTATATTATGTTATTAACAAGGTGGACATTGTTAATTTTCAATATTATTGAAAATTATTAAAACTAATAATTTGTAATTTATTTAGTTAGGGTTAGGGACGGAGCCAAGATTAAACTGAGGGGAAAAAGAATTTAAATAGTGGTTCGTTATTGAAATAGTGGCTATTATAGAGCGATAAAGATGTCATCTGAAATCGTTATTGTTCAATCACGATGCCCTAATAACATCCGCTATTGTCATAATCGTGATGAACACAACACAACCAAAAAGGTTATCATATCCGTAATTGAAATTCTTGGGATAATTTGTTTAATTTTAAAATAAATATGATATTAAAAAGTAATTAAATCATAAAAAATTAAGAGATTGAGGGTTTAATTCTACTAAATTTAAAATTTAAATCTCTTAAAAAATAATTAAATCACATGAATTTTGGGCCAAAACTTAATTCGATTAATTTTAAAACTGAAAGTATCCCAAAATTAATTATACCAAGAAATTTTTGGGGGAGGGGAAGGACTTAATTTTAATAGTTTTAAAATGTGCATTGGCCTAAAATATAGTTATCCCGTCTCTGGTTAGGGCTTTTTTTTCTTCTTTAAAAATACCTATTAATATACAATGGTTTTGGCAAACTGATCAGAGACGAATGGATTTATTATTATTTTATCTGTTGCCGAATGATGAAGAAGAATGGAAAAGAAAAATGAAAATTAAGGCTATAGGTTGATAATATTTCGGTGGAGTGAAAATAAAACAATAGAAAACAAGTAAAACTTTAGTTCAGATGTCATTGGACATAGAGAGATTATAACAAATCAAACATGTTGTTCCCCATTTGAGTCAACATGTGACCCTTAGACCATTACATTATCTTGCTCAAACATGAACCTTTTTTTGGAGTTAATGTCCCCAATATAATCGGTGATGGAAGGATTGAACATTACATAGTCAGTCTCCTGTTGTTAAAGAATATAACTATTTTTTTAACCAACACCGGTAGTTACACTGCAGTAAGTATGATCTTTGTGATCATTCAATTGTAACATTAGAGAATTTTGTCAAAAAAATATATTATATGTGACAAATATTATTTTTGTTACTTTTGAAATGAGTAATTGTAACTTATTTCTATTGGTCACTCATTAAATAATAATTTTGATAATTTTAAAGTATATCACAAGTAACACTTCAATAATAGTGTTTTATTGTGATCAAAATAGGTTGTCATTATCAATTAGTCACTAATAAAATGCTCAAATTGACGTCAACTTATTTTCCGAAAAAAAAAATTGTAATTGTAAATGTAATCGCCATTTTTGTCCTCCCATACCCTGCCACCTCTGCTGCTGCTCCATGCCTCCATTCCTAGCCATGCCCTGCCATCTTCCTACTCCATGCAACACCAACAACAGCACCAGTTATCCACCAACTCAACATCATTTTTTTATTATTTGAGAGATATGTAAAAATGGGGATAAAAACCCATCAAAATATCGTTGTAAAGGAGCCCCCGAATCGAAAAAAAACAGTAGGGAGGCTCCTCTCCCCATTTTGTTCTTTCTTTTATTTTCTAATTAAAGTAGAAAACAATAGTAGAGGGATTGAGTTTATTTTTCTTTTACTTTTTCTTTGTCGTGGTTCTACGTCTCCGGTGGGGGGAGTCTAAGGGACGAGCGATGCCCATATGGGGTTTCGGTCGAGGAGTTTGAGCTAAGGTAAAAAGGGGTTTTGGTTCTTTTTGAATCGGTTCGGGCTTCACGGGTTGATTTGGCGTTGATTGAGGTGTATGACGACCAGCGATTTATGGTGGCCGACGTTTGGCCGGTGAGAAGGGCCTTGGGTTTTTGAGTGGCCAGCTGCGTGAGAGGAAGAGAGTAAAAGTGGAGAGGATGAAGCTTAGTTAATTTAGTTTTTTTTTAGAATATAATTAGGTTTGTATTAAAATTTTAGGGTTAATCACGCTATAGTCCCTTAACCTTCACCGTGTTTTTACGTCTTGGTTACTTCTTTTAGGTCAAATCACCATATAGGCCCTCTAAACGTTGTTGAGTTTTTGCATTTTAGTCACCAGGTACACTCCTTTCAGTTTCGTTGATTTCGGTACTCTACTCTCATTTTATTTTAATTTAGTCAATGTTTTATTTTGCCATTGCCATTTATTTGAAATTGATCACTGAATTTTATGTTATTACAGTTTAGTCACTAATTAGTTCTATTATATTTATTAATTTATGAATTTGATGTGATACTTTCAATTTATGCATTTTAGTTACCGTTTATTTCTGATTTGGCTACTATTCTTCCATTTTATGCATTTTGGTCATTGTTTATTTCTGTTTTGGCTACTTTTTTCTTTTAGTTCATTTTAGTCCCTACTTGTTTTGTTCCATTACTTTGTAAATATTTTATATTTTGACTGCTAATTTATGAGATTCACATTTTGGTCACGTGTGTATGCTTTTAATAGATTAGATTAGTTTACACTTTAGTGCCTAAATTTATCCTTTTTTTTATTTGGTCACTATTTCCAACTTTATTTTTCTTATATGAAATAACATGGGTTTGTTACATGTTAGATCTTGTAGTTCTTCCACTGTTTTGATTTAGCCATAGTTTTGATTTGATTTGAGAATCATGGACTGTAGTTCACTTTTATTTTAATTTATTTACTTCATTTTATTTAAAGGTTATGGTTTTTGTTTTATTATATTTTTGAGATCCATTTTCTATAAAAATTCATTACTTATTAAATTTGTAAAATACATGTATGTTTGGTACTAATATTCATCATTTTTTACTCGTATATTTTCAATAACATTTATCGTAGAATGAGCGTGAAAAGCACAACTTGATGATTCGACACGATATTTGAACGAAAATAAATTTGAAATAAATCAAGTTTATTTTTATAAATAATAATTAATTTATTTTTATTTTAATTCAAATGATGCAATGTGTGTTTCTTTAAATAATAATTTATTTTATGCAATTACCAATAATCAATTTTTATTCAATTTGTGTTTTTTATAACGTTGGGGAGGGGAACATTTCTCGTATAAAGGAGAAATAAATAGGATAGCCTTCCCGTTGGAGGATGTACAAATCCTGTGATTTCTTATCAAATTAAGGAATGTTCCCAAATAATTAATTCAAAACAAATTATTCAATGTTCAATGAAAGGATCACACTTTATATATTAATTTGAATTTACAATGTCCACCATTTACGAAAATGTATAAGTGACTAGATACCAATTTTGGGCGCGGTAGAGGTTCTTATCCTTTCCCACTCGTAATCGAATCACGAATCCTTAAAATGAATTATCGATAAGCGTAGACCAATTTTTTAGTCTTAAAAATGATTTTTTCTAAAAGACGTTTTTAGGTGTTCAGCCTACCTAACCCAAAGGTTCGATGGCGGCTCCAAATCAAAATAAACTCCAAAATTAATTTTTTCCCAAATAAGTCATAATTTAGGATTTTCTTCGAAAAATTATTCATTCGTCAAAAAACACGTTTCGACAACTTGGATGTAAGTCGCTTATACATTGTCATGGTGGTGGAAATTGTGGATTCGAGTCCATAATTAGTTTGTGATCATTTTCCTTGAACATTGATTAATTTATTATTCATTTTTATATAAATAGTTGTACTGATGTTTGACTTCATGGTTGCAACTTTATTGACTTTCTCTTTACGAAGATGATTATCTCCTTGTTGTTTTTGTCAAAGCTTTGTAAGTTCCTCCTCACACACCTCACGTGCATTTGTATGACATAAGTTCTATACCTGAGCTTCGTCCCAAATAAGTAGGAGTGAATGCTTTGCTCTCATAAGAATTTATTCTTCGTATGAGTCTTAGCAAATAACCTCTGGGGTACATATGCCTTATACCTTCATAGGGATTTATTCCTTGTATGGGTATAAGGAAGTGAATCCCTTAAAATTGA